AGAAAAGAAAAAAGAAAAGAAAAGAAAAGAAAGAAGGAAGGGGAGGGAAGGGAAGGAAAGGAAGGAAGAGAGAAAGGAAAGAAGGGAAGGAAAGGGAAAGGAAGAAAGAGAGAAAGAGAAAGAGACAGAGAGAGACAGAGAAAGAGAAAGAGAGGAAGGAAGGAAGGAAGAAGGAAGGAAGAGAAAAAGAACCGCCCCCTCCCCCCCGGGGCGGGGCCCATGTGGCCCGGAACAGCAGTAAAATGCGATGCTCTGTGGAGTGGACCCTTACGGGTCCACCTCTGTGGGGTTCCAGCTCACGCCTGGAGGCCTCACTAAGTGCACTGGGACGCTGTGCCCAGGGCCCAGGCCTGGCTGAGACTAGGGGCAGATCACAGCATGCGGACCCTATTAGAGGTGCAGTCTCTCTGCCTCTTGCTGTCTCTCTGTCTCTCTTGTTCAAGAAAGAGATAAATAAACTTAAAGAAAAATCTTTAGAAGGCTAGAATTTTCTGGTGAAAAAGACAGGCGTGATCCTTCTGTGGGGCTCCACGCCAGGACTACAGAGAACCAAGCCCAGCAAGGAAAATCGCCAACAGCAACACACCAGCAGATGGTAGCCCGTGAGGGCAGACCCTGGCCTCTCCCACCAGCTGCAGACCCTTCCCCAGACAGCCCCTCCTGCAGCAACCCTAAGAGATGGAACCTTGCTGGAAAGGAGCCGGCCCGCTGGCCCTCTCACCTGTGCACTCGCCATCCTTGAGGGCATAGCCCGGCTCGCAGGTCAGCGCCTTGTAGCAGTGGAAGGAGCCCAGCGTGTTCACGCAGTGCTCACCCCGGCTGCACGTGTGCAGGTCCGTCACACACTCATTGATGTCTGCAAGGAGAGCAGGGCCATCAGAGGTTGCAGGATGGTCCCAGGACAGAAGCTGAGAACAGCTCAGGGACCTCGGGCCACTTCGAGGGAGGAAGTACCAGGTCCTGTTCTCCGGGTGCTCACCATCCAGAGAGCAGACACGCCGGTACCCACGTACCCTGTCCTCGTACCCATGCATCCCTTCATTCAACAAAGATTTATTGAGCAGCTGCTGTTGTGCACAAGCACTGTTCCTTTGCACAGGGCATACATGAGCGACCAGGACAGACGGAGATCCCTGGCCCTGTGGAGCAGACCAAGGGAGGAGACATGCTGGACACACACATGGATGAAGGTGACACGGAGGTGGTTAAGGGAGCTGTGCACACAGAGCCAAGGAAGGAAACAGAGAGGGCCAGGTGCAGAGGGCACAGAGAAGAGGACAGGGACTAACTCCTAGGAGAAGCCAGGGATGAGCCCATGGGGAGAGGGGAAAGAGCAACAGAAGGCCAGGGGAGAACCACAGAGACCAACTCAGAAACCATGAGCGCTGAGGGTGTCAGAGAGGACCACGCTCCTGGCTCCTCGAGGTCCCACTGGCAGGGCAGGTGCACCATTCATCCCCTGATCCATTCACTGGGCACACGGTAATGAGTACCGATTCCACACCGGGCTCCTGCAGCCAAGCCACGTGCCAGCCACGGCCCCTGCCCTCAAGAGGCGGCCGGGGACCAACAGTTAGCGTAATGGCTATGTCCCTGGACTCCCACATAGTCCGCGGTTCGAGTCCCAGACCCGGTGGCTTAAAACTCACACCGGACGCGTGTGTGTGCGTGCCCAAGATCCTGAGAGGAGAATGGAGGAGAAGGGATTGTCGGCGTGGCCATTCCCCCTGGGGGGTGATTTCTCGCTTTCTGTCTCTCTGTCTCTCTCTGTCTGTCTGGTGAGCACACGCGCCCTATAGCAAAAATCTCTAAAGGGGGGGGGGCGGCCAGACCAGAAGGAGCAAAGCCAGTGGAGATGCTGGGTGAACAAGCACACAGCCTCTGGGGATTCAGGCCACAGAAACTCTTCTGGTCCTGAACCACTGGAGTCTCTTCTCAGGGGTGGTGACATTGGAGCTGAGTCTGCAAGGGTGTCTAGGGGATGAAGTAGAGAGACAGGGGACAGGCCCAGGGGGAAGGAGACCCTCCCAAACTCACAGGAGAACCAAAGATGAGTAGACCAGGGTTTGGGGAAGGATGGGGAAGAGGGGGAAAGAGAGAGCTCTGAGAAAGCTTTGGCCAGGCAAGATAAAGACTTCTGACTCGCAGCCTGGATTAAGAGAGGGCAACATCGGGACCAATAGGTGGCATAATGGTTATGTTGCTGGACTCCCACATCGTCGACCACGGTTCAAGTCCTGGACCTGGTGGCTTAAAATTCACACCAGGCGCATGTGTGTGCATGCCCAAAATCCCAAGAGGAGAAGGGAGGAGAAGGGATGGAGGTATGTGAGGCATGGCCATCTCTCCTGGGGGTGATTTCTCACTCTCTGTCTCTCTGTCTCTCGCTGTCCCTCTGGAGAGCACACATGCCCTATAGCAAAAAATCTCTCTTAAAAAATAAAAAAAGAAAGAAAGAAAAGAAATAAGAGAAGGCAGCATGGGCCTAGGGCCCTGAGATGCCAGCCCTGGGAGCCTGGCACTGCCTGGGAGAAATGACAGTTGTAAATGGCAGCCAGCAGGCAGGAGCAGAGCCATTCTATCATCCTGCCACACAGGGACGACCAGCCCCACTTCACTCCAGGAAGTGACAGGCCTGGACCGGTCACACAGCAGCACATGGCGGCAGCAGGAGGAGAACCAGACACCTGCCCAGGGCTGCAGCTTTCCCACAGGCTAACCACTGCTGCTGGCTGGGCCCCAGAGCCGGGCCACTCTGCTCACCTCCAGCCCAGCCCACCGGAAGCACTTTCCCTGGGGGCCAAGACAGTCCCCTGAACACAGGGAATAAAAGGCAAATGGTGAATAGGAGAGTCCCTGGCAGAGGCCACACCCGACACTACCCACTTCAGCGCACACGCCTGCAGTGAGGGGGTGCTCCCTAGCTCTGCAGGCACCCCCAGTGTGACGTGCTGGAGCACCAGCACACAGACTCACTCATGGAACCGCCACAGTGGGCTGTGAGGACATTGGCTTCGTCACAGGTGAAGACCCTGAGACTCCGAGAGGGTAACGAACTTGGTTATGTCTCAGGTTAGAAGGGGCAGAGCAGGGACCAGCAGTTAGCGTCATGGCTATGTCGCTGGACTCCCATGTAGTTGACCGCGGTTCGCATCCCAGACCCAGTGGCTTAAACTCACGCCGGGTGCGTGTGCGTGCGTGCCCAAGATCCCAAGAGGAGAATGGAGGAGAAGGGATTGCGGTGTGGCCATCCCCCCTGGGGGTGATTTCTCGCTTTCTGTCTCTCTGTCTCTCTCTGTCTGTCTGGTGAGCACACGCGCCCTATAGCAAAACCTCTCCCCCCCAAAAAAAATATATATAAAAAGAAGGGGCAGAGCCAGGATTTGGGCCCAGGCGACCTGGCTGCAGAGGTCGCACTTGCTGCCCTCGCTCGGGCCTCCCGTCTCACCCGCCTGGGCTGATACAGACAGATGAACCGCAGAAGCAGCCGCAGACACTGCGCACGTGAGCCTGACGGAGGATGAGTGCGAGGTACTCACAGACGGAGGAACGAACACGTGAGTGTGCGGGACAGGAAGACAAAGACGAGGCCCTCGTAAGTTTGGACAGCATGACCAAAGAGGGCATGAAATACGAGAACGACCACGTGAGCTCATAAATTTTGCTGAATGTAATGGAACTTCCATGCCCAGAACCCACTTCCAGCTGCCCCAGAGCCCCTTTCAGCACAAGGCATTCCCCTCCAGGCAAGGACAAGGGGAGCCTGTAACGCAGGCACACTGAGAGCGAAGGGTGTCCTGGAGGGGGCCATCTCCCCAGACACACACATTCAGACCCGACCCAGACAGGAAGAGCTGCCCAGCCCGCTGGCAAGCAAGTTCGGGAGGGCGCATGGTGCCGACAGCTGCAGGCTCCGGGCAGACGGATCTGCAGCAGCCGCCCCGCACAGCACCATGGCCCATCTGCCCAGCGGCAGAGGGTGGGGAAGGACACACATCCAGGCCGGATATGGTCCCCAAGCACAGAGAAGACAGACGGGACTCTGGTCACATGCCCGGGACACATGGTGTGCTGTCCCTACTGCCACACCCTTGTTCAAGCTGTCCCTCTGCCCTGCATGCCCTTCCTGTTCCGAGTCCTACTATTTATCCTGGGAGATGGGTGTGAGTGCTACCTTCTCCAAGAAGCCCTCCCAGATGCCATCAGCTGGAATGGCCTGTTTTCCTGCGTGCATCTTTGCTGTAGCATTTACCAGGGTCTGCCCTAAGTCTCGGCTACTCTGGGTCTTTGTCTACGAGCTGTAAGAGTAAAAGGGCTTACGTCTCCTCTGTGAAGACACATGGGAGCACCTCCTGAACCCCAAGCCCTGGCCCACAGAAGGCACAGAGGGACAGCAGGGAAGCACTGATACTCTGGTTGAAAACAGAGGCTCAGAGAAGAGTTCTGCTGCTCAGAGGCACACAGCCAACGAGGGCTGAGCTGGAGTGCAAAGCCAGGAGTGAACCCCATGGTCTGTGTACTCACCTGCGTGGGTGTTGGGGGGGGGGTGGTTCTGGGTGCATCTGAGGACAACCTACGCAGTGGAGGCAACATTTTCACATGCCCCAGGCTCTGGGCTACACTGGACACATGTCATGTGACCATCAAAGAAGGATGGAAACCCCCTTTCCCAGATGAGGAAACAGCAGCTGATAGACAAGTGACTTGTCTACGGTCACAGAGCCACTAGGGGGCGCTGCTGCAGACCCCACACAGTATCCTGCCACCTGCACATCCGACCTCCTCATTTTCCTGAGGTCCATGTGGGGTCTGTGACTCAGCTAGCTACCTTTTCTGGGGGGAAACAGCCTCCTGGTGGACACGCGGGACAGGACACCAGGGGGAGAGGGCATGACGCGGAGCGTGCGGATGCCGGCTGTGCTGAGAGGCACATGCAAAGGGCAGGCCCTTTGGCATGTGGCCGCAGAGTGGCGGCTTGGCGTGGAGCGAGCAGAGTGCCGTGAAGGTGGCTGCAGGCAGGGGCCCTGGCTTACCCACGCACTTCCTGTGCGCGTTGAGGATAAAGCCCTCGGCACAGAGCACTGTGTGGTTGACACAGTAGAAGGATCCCAGGGTGTTCACACAGAACTGTCTCCGGCTACAATCGTGAGTGCCCGTCAGGCACTCATCTTGGTCTAGTGGCAGCTGTGGGAGGAAAAACAGAAGGGCCATTAGAGGGGCATGGCCTGCCACAAAGCACCCAGTGACAGAGGGGACCACTGAAACCTGGAGCAGAGCAGGGGCCAGCCCAGGGCCTCCCTGTCTGCCTGTGGCACGGCTGGACCTTGGGTCCAAGTCTCAGTCTGTAGAGCCCAAAGATGTCAGAGTTGGGTCCCACTGTCCCAGTCGGGACAGGTGGCGGTGAGACCGTGAGAGGGCAGGCAGCCGGCTCACAGTCGCACAGCAGGGCAGGGCCAGCGGGCCAGCGGGCGCTCAGTCATGCCCTGTACGTGGGCAGCCAAAGGAACTGCTCCAGAGGAGGCTGTACACGCAGGGCCCAGGAGGAGCTGAGGGAGCACTCCAGGTACCCCCAGGCCTGTGCTCTGTCCAAAACGGGACAGGACGTGGGCCCCTCATGGGGAGATTTTATGAAGTGCCAAGAAAAGCTCAAAACCTGGAAATGTCTCAAAAAGTCTTGAGCTTCTCAAGACTGGAAGCTCATTTGACTGTTTAAACACAGCAGAGTTGAGCCCGACTCCTCCACGGGGCAGGATGCACTTTGAACGTGTTTGCAAACTCTGACCTGGACCCCACAGCTAATTCTGCCCGGGGCCCTCCAGGAGGAAGACAAGCGGCCTCCAGGTTCACAGACATGCCAGGCTGCATGGCCAGCAAGTGGCACCTGCTCCCAGGTGCCTCACCAGAACTGTGCCCAAAGGAGGCCTGACCTAGGACAGGGACACTCCGGTCTAAACCACATAGCCCCAGCTGGGCCTAAGACCAGATCTCACCTTAGAAGAGAAAGGCCGGCAGGGTACCATCATGCTGTGTGTCCTGGGCAAGTCTGCTGCCCTCTCTGGGCACATAGGATGGATTTTGTCCACACAGAGCAGTCCAAGCTAATGGGTACTACTTGGAATTTCAGCTTCTGGGAGGGGTGGCTACTCTCCTCCTTCCAGACAGACTTGACTCAGTTCTCCCCAGACTCCCACCAGCATCGTGTCTCCTGCACGTGAAACTGAACTGACTCCTTCCCTAGGTGCTCCACGTGCTCCGTGCCTGTCCATCTCCAGGCAAGTCCAAGACCTGTTGGGTTGGTTCTTAAGGCTGAAGGAACTAACCCAGCAGTATTGGATCCAATGGTGCGCTATTTCAAGGGGGAGCTCCTGGCCCACTGACATGCCACCAAGACAACCTCCAGACCTCGGGTTGCTGGAGTAAAAGGGATGTGCTTTGTGGGCCCTCTCGACGCCTTTGTGAAGAGCAGGGGCAGCTAATGGTCACCGATATCTATCACCCCCTTCATTTCAGTAAGACTCTAGCCAGTGCCTCCTACCCCCAGTCTCCTTCCCATTCCCCACTGGAGCAAGTGGGAAGATGAGTGCTACACTCCAGAGAAGGTGCTCCACTTCAGTCAATCGGGCATTGCTTCTCGATTTCCCATCCGCTTATCCATGGAGGCAAACATGGTGGTCACACAGCAGCTTCGGCTGCATAGACCAGGGTAGCCCTCAAGGCAGGGCAAGTTGATGTGTGGCCCATGGACCTGCAGCACTACCACCACTGGGGACCCTGTTAAAAACATGAGTTCTTGGGCCAGGCGATTGAATCCCACAGGGCCACCTGTGTCTGGCATCTTACGAGACAAGCCAGACGCATGTGCTTCCTAGAGGAGGGAGAAATGGAGGAGAAGGAATTGGGGCATGACCATTCCCCATGAGAGGTGTCTTCTCTCTCTCTCTCTCTCTCTCTCTCTCTCTCTCTCACAAGTACATGTACTCTCTGGCAAAAATGAAAAGAAGAAAAGAAATGTGAATTCTATGGCAATGCAACAAGATGGAAGGAGCCAGGGCCTCGGGACCTTCTGAGGTAACAAGCACTAGGGGTCAACCCTGGGTACAGGGACACACTGCACAGGGACAAGAGAGGGACTACTGAAGCTGCTCTCTTGGGGACTCTTTGTCACCACAGCCAAACCTGGTCCTTCATGAGCACAGCAGCTGTTCGAGCCTGTCCCCCACCCGGGGCCCCCAGGTACTCACCTTCACAGGACACGCCATCGGCCATAATGGCATAGCCAGGGAAGCAGGAGCACATGGCCGAGCCTCGGATGATGCTGCACACCTGCTTGCAGGGCCCGTTGTCTAGAGGAGACCACGCAGAAGTCACAGACCACCCAACTGTGGCCTGGCCCACCCTGGCTCTTCCACCCGACTCTGACCTCTGCCTCAGAGGCAGAACCAGAGGCCCAGGGAGGCGAAGGAACTAGGAGACCAGGCACCCTGGTCCTGGTCCTCTTCCCACGTTGGCCTGTTAAGTCTGCTTAGCGCGTGTCAGGGCAGTGCTGGGCCTCCACCTACCGCCACTCAGATCCCAAACCATCCCTCAAGTAATGACAGTGATAGGGAGACAGAGAAGAGGAAGGAGGAAGAGAAAGATGCAGAAAGGTAAGGGGGAAAATACGAGGAAAATAATTTTCTAGTCATTACTGAATAAAGCCATGCTTATTCATCAAGCAAGGCTTTTATCTCAATTTTACAAAAACAAGATGAAACACAGTTAATGGGCTTGCCTAGAGGTCACGACACAGGCCCCAGAATGCCCTGCTCCAGGCAGATCCTTGATCTTACGTCCTCACTCGACCCCAGACAAGCGAGTCCCACCAAGCCCCAAAGCACCCTCTTTAGGGAGGCTCTCTTGTGCATGCCCCACACCAGACCTCGCCACTCACACATGCCCCACACCAGACGGCTCGCCACTCACACGTGCCCCACACTAGAC